AGGAAAAAAATATACCACCACCCACACACCAACAGCTCCAACACACAAATCCGGGAGAATGGTAGCACCGGACCGGCCACCGCTAAGTGTGACCGACCGCCACTAGACCAACAAAGGAACACAGACGGGATCGCCCCAAAAATGCCCCCACAACCAACACAAAGCTCAACTCTATCCTACAGCGTGCTTGCACTCGTTCGAGAGGTTTTGGCAAGGGGATGACAAAATGACGTCTCCAAGAAGATAAGCGACGGAAAACTGCCGCCGCCGTCTGTCAGGGGCTCAAAGGAGCAAAGACTAGGCTTTCGCCCGGCAACCACCCGCCATCAGGAGAGGGAATGAACCATCATTGTCGGTCCGGCCAAGGCTGGGCTGGGTTTTCACCGGCCGATCACCACCGCGAGTCCACGGCTGACGCACCGATGCTCCACCACCGCTCATCCTCTGCTGACATGTGGGACCATTACACTGGCGCCCTCCGCCAGCTAGCCTTCATGCGCCAAAGACCGCGCCACACCCACCGATAGCTCCTCCTCGCACCCTGGTCGCCTCCTCCACCACCGGCCGCGCTTCTCGCCCCAAGTCGGCCTCCTCCACCGGACGCGCCTCTCGCGCCAATCCAGCCTCCCGCCATCGGCCGCACCTTTCGCACCAAGCCGGCCTCCATCTCCGCCGCCCGCGCTGAGCCAACCTCTGCTGCCATCGGCTGCACCTCTCTGCGAAAGCCGGCCTCCGACCCCTCCTCCAAACACTGCCTCGCCGGCCAGATGCAGCCGTCTGCCACGCCCTCATCTAGCCTTCCGAGGTCGCCATGGTCGCTACCACACCGTGCCTCCTCCCACCGCAGCCACGGTTGCCATAGCAGCCGCTGCTGCTGTCATCCAGCCACCTGTTGTCGCCAGACAGCCGCTGACGCCACCACCGCGATGAACTCCACGCCTGCAATCACCGTTGCGTTGTCCTCCTCCGCCACTGGTCACGAGAGCTCTCTCACTCCGCCCTACGCCTCCACCCGTAAGCTCCAGTGACGAGAACCAATGCTGTCGGAGCTGTGAGCTTCACAGCCGCCCCCTTCCTATCTAGCAATTGGAGGGCCAGATCCGCCGTGCTCACCCCGGCCTGCACCACGCCGGCCGGCAGCACGCGTGCCGCTTGGCCTCCTCTGCGCAAGCCGCTTGGCCTCCTCCGCGCCCCGTCACGCCACTGTGCATGCCCTATCCCCGCCGCCCCGCCCCCCAAAAAAGAAATCTGACACGAGGGCGCCGAGTCCAAGTGTGGGAGAGCCGGATCCATTGACGTCAGCGCCGGATCCACGGCCGCCGTCGCTGGAGCTCCCCGCCGCCGCCTCCTTGCCGGCTTCTCCTCTTCTCTCCCGCGCCGGAGTCGAAGGATGTCGTCGGGATTGCGCCCTGCCGCCGCCCTCCCAGCATGCCACCGGCTTTCCAGTGGCGTGCGTGCTACGGCGGTGGCGCGGCGAAGGAGAGGGGGAGGGAGGTTGGCGGCGCGCTAGGGTTTCCTCCCCGTGTCGCCCGTGCGTGGACGATGCGGAGAGCGCTGTCCCGTAACGATGGTGATAAACTTCTAACGTCCGCACCAACTAGAGATGTACATATTACGCAACCAAGCATAACACATTTATTCCAAAGAAAATAATCAAAGGTCAAAAAAGACACGAAGAAAGGAAATATCAACGTGGAGTAATGTTGCATATCCCTATTTTATTATGAGTTCTCAGTTTGCATGTGATTGGCAATTTCATATGTCAAACAAAATGTATTGCTTTCTAACTTCTTTTGCTCTAAGATATATAGAGCTTGTCCATTTTATTGTTGAGACAGGTTTTAGCCTATCCATTTTCTCAGGTATATCTTTTCATCATGTACTAGCTATGTAACTTTAACAAAAGCTGTGCAAATTTAGAGATAAACTTTTAAACCAGTTGTATATAAACATTGATGACCTTTTCAACTCTTTTCTTGACCCCATTTGTGCAGCATCAATCACGTATATATGCATGCTAATTCAATAGGCCGGCCAAGAGGGGTGAGAGAGATACAAATGCATGTCACACCCTGTGGCCAACCATGCAGGGTAGGAATACATCCTTGTCCTCTATGAATATATGTATATTTCATATGCTTTCAATTAATGGTCAGAATCGTTTTTAAGAAAACAAATACAGAATGTCGGTTTTTAATTAAGATGCACGTACAATTAATGTTTTTTAGGACCTAAGGTAATGATTGAAACATTTCTCATCCAGTCATGTAAACAGGACAAGTTGTGTGTAAAACCGAGTGTTCAATTCCGCCTTTTCATCGAACCAAATGGCTATCAGTTAATCATTACAATAACTTTTCAGCCAATGAAAAACAAAAATGTCGTTTTTAATTAAAGAACATACGTACAATGTTTTCAGGCCCAATAGCTAGGTAATGATCACCAATCCTCATCGATCCGTTATTTAAGACATACAAGTTGTACAAAATTGTGCGGTCGTCCCGAACTAAACGAACCATTAATGAATTATAGCTCCTTTAAAATATAGGATAGTAAAAATATAGGAATAGGAAAAACGTAGGAATTGAAGTGGCATGTTTTCCTAATTCTACAGGAATGAAAAACACAGGAAAGATGAAGAGGGTCCCTTTGATAGCACCATAAGAAATAAACAAAGCAAATGATAGTTTCCAAGAGGTTGAACCTCTTGCTTATTTTCCTATGAAATTGAATTATAGGAATGCAATCCTAAGGAAAATTTCCTACACTTTTCTATGAATCAAAGGGTTTCATAGGAAAAATTCCTTAGGAAATTAAATCCTCCAAAATTCCTATGACAATCCTCCAATTCAAAGGGCCCTTTATTGTTAGAATTATTTCAAAGAGTGTTTATACAGAAGACCAGTTTTCGACTCTCAAGACAATATATAATTTTAAATGTTTTGCTAGCTAGCTGTAGACAGTTTTTAGGACTGAAAACTGTCAAATTTTTTTACCATTGATTCCGCGCTAAGATTTGTGCTCAAATGTTTTGCTATCGGATCTAAACCCTCTTTTCACAAGCTAGTTCCACCATCGCACGTTTATGGTAGATTTGTTCAAACTACACCTAAGTTACATCCTAGTTACATGCTACTTACATTGTAGTTATACTATAGTTATATTGTAATTATAGTGTAACTATACAATAACTATATTGTTATCTCTATATAAATTAGATATAGTTGTTTATATTATTTTAATACATATATACGAGTTATTATTATTATTATAGTGTAGTTCTACTGAAATTATATACTATAGTTAGATTTAAAAGTTTTTTTAAAAAAACTTTCGACAGTTTTTTAGCTAATCTCTAATTTTAATTAGGACCGAAGTGACGCACTGATTTAGTGTTGTGTTTTTTTATCCCCAGACAAGCCGTATCGAACTGAGTGATCAATCTTCCCCACTAGCTTTCTCACATTTCTCAAACCAAACAGACCAAATTAATTATAATATTGCTCCCTTCATTCTTGAATAATTAGCACTATTTGCATTGATACCATTCAAGTCTAAATTTTTTTATTAAAATAATAACAAATTGAATATATGTTAAATTATCGAATTGAAGTTTAGCATCGTTAATATAGCCACACAACTTAACTTTATTCATCATAATATAAAATGTATTTCCTCCGTTTTATATTATAAGTCGCTTTGATTTTTTAGTTAAACTTTTTAAGTTTGATCAAGTTTATTGAAAAATATATCAATATTTTTAATAGAAAACAAACATATTATAAAAATATATTCAATATTATATTTCATTAAACTAATTTGATCTTATTTATGTTACTAATTTTTTTCCATAAACTTGATCAAATCTGAAGAAGTTTAACTTAAAAATAGTCAACACGACTCGTAATATGAAACTGAGCAAGTACCGCTCTAGTCAACCGTCTCGATTATTCAGGAACACAAGGACACATATTAGAAAAAAATAACTCGTTTTACAAACACGTACTACTTCAAATATATTCCTTCATCTTAATAAACATATCTTCTCCGATTCATTTCGTTACCATTGAATTCACCTTGTCCTAATCAATTAACTCAAAACGAAAACATGGCATTAATTAATGGAGAATGTTACATGAGATCTCGTTTGGACAGGATGATAGCTCAGAATCGATACTTACCATACCAGGTATCATGCGATATCTAAGAGATATCATTACTCCCTCCGTTTTAAAATATAAGAATTTTTAATATAGTAACAAGTCAAACATTTTTAACTTTAACTATTAATAGCATAAAAATAAAAAGATGAATCATGTAACATTGATGTTGCTAGATTTATTATTAAACAAACTCTTTTTATTTATTTAAAACATCTAATTTTTATTTTTATAGATATAGTTGGTCAAAATAGTATCTCGGAGATCGTGTCAGAATCCAAAAATACAATATTTTAGGATGGAGGAGTATGTCCGAACGGGTTATTAATCGATACCTATTACTCCCTCCGTTTATGGGTATCAACCGGTACCTATTACTCCCTCTGTTTTAGATTATAAGATGTTTTTGACTTTGATCAAAGTTAAAAAGTTTGACTAAGTTTATAGATAAATATAATAATATTTATAATACTAATTTAGTTTCACCAAATCAGTAATTGAATATATTTTTGTAATAAATTTGTTTTGGGTTGAAAATGTTACTACGTTTTTCTATAAACTTAATCAAATTTAAAGCAGTTTGACTTTAACCAAAGTTAAAACGTTTTATCACTTGAAACGGAAGGATATCAAGGGATTTCTCAGAAATATCGTTCCGTCCGAAACGAGATACCGTCATGTAGCGTCTCCCATAATTAATACCGGTAACTAAATTCCAAAAGGGACGCAAGAGGAGGATATGATGGGTGTAGGTATATGCGTAGTACGTACACGTACGCGTGTATAGTACTAGTTAGGAGTACGTACGTATAGTAGCTGCTCGATCAGTCGCCGGCCGGTGGGGTATTCGTCTCGTCTCCCGGCTCCTCTCCAATCTCCATCTCCACCAATATAACCCCATGTCCGCCACCGTCTCCCATCTCTCTCCCTCCACAGACGATCCCCCTCCAGCTCGAGCTATCTTAGCTTAGCTCTCTCTCCCCTATCCAACAGTAAAAAGCTAGCTAGCTCACTTCGCTAGCTCTACCTCAAGCTCTGGCTAAAGCTGTGTTGTTGTGTGAGAGTGAGAGAGATGCCGTGCACGTCGGCGGCGTGGATGTTGCACGTGGGTGGTGCGGCGGCGGAGCAGGCGTCGTCGTCGTCGTCGTCCAAGGGAGGGGGGAGGGTGGTGACGGCGGGGACGACGACGATGGACACGGGCGGGTACAATAATGGAGGTGGTGGTGGGGGTGGGGGTGGCAATGGCGGCGGCGGCGGCGACCACCAGGAGAGCAGCAGCAGCGGCGGCGGCGGCGGGCAGTCATCCAGGCTCGCGGCGCGCGGCCACTGGCGCCCCGCCGAGGACGCCAAGCTCCGCGAGCTCGTCGCGCTCTACGGCCCCCAGAACTGGAACCTCATCGCCGACAAGCTCGACGGCAGATCCGGTACGTACTTACGCACGCCGCCGCCGCCGCCGCCGCCGTGCTTGCTGATGGCTGATGCTGACATCGTCGTCGTCGTCCTCGTCGCCGGCGTGCAGGGAAGAGCTGCAGGCTGAGGTGGTTCAACCAGCTGGACCCGAGGATCAGCAAGAGGCCGTTCAGCGACGAGGAGGAGGAGAGGCTGATGGCGGCGCACAGGTTCTACGGCAACAAGTGGGCGATGATCGCGCGCCTCTTCCCCGGCCGGACCGACAACGCCGTCAAGAACCACTGGCACGTCATCATGGCGCGCAAGTACAGGGAGCAGTCCACCGCCTACCGACGCCGCAAGCTCAACCAGGCCGTCCAGCGCAAGCTCGACGCCACCACCGCCTCCGACGTCGTCGTCGCCCACCACCACCCCTACGCCGCCGCCCACGACCCCTACGCCTTCACCTTCCGCCACTACTGCTTCCCTTTTCCGGCCGCCTCCCCCGCCGCCGCCGACGAGCCGCCCTTCACCTGCTTGTTCCCCGGTAAGTAAACAAGTAAACACTTCTCAGCTACAGCATCTCTGCACACGCTCCCAGCTCCCGAGAGAATGACAGGTGGGCCCCACACCGCACTGATTATTCTGAACCTGCTTCTCCTTCCTCTCGCTGACAGCCATGCCATGCCCACCACACCTATACAAAGAAAATAATCCTCCATTGTTGTTGTGAGCTAGCCAGTCGCCATGGTTAGGCACACACACGGGTTAGCTAGTACACGTACACTGATGCACAGTGACACACAGAGAGAGAGAAAGAGAGAGAGAGAGAGAGAGAGAGGCATGGCATGGCACTGGAGAAATGTGATTCGGGGACAGTGCACGGAGCGGCCGGCGCCAATGGCAGATCGAGCAGGCGGCCGGCCGGTCCGGTCCGGGCCGGTCGACGAGGAGTAAATGGATGGGTCGCTTTTGCTTCTTGAAATAGGAACCATGGCGACATGGATCAGCGCCTCTCTCTCTCTCTCTGCCCCCCAAAGACCAGGTACTGGCTTTGGACTTTCGTCGAGCACAGTGCGTGCGTGCGTGCGCCGCGCCGTGACGCGCCCGTGCAACACCACATGCGCACGCACGCACGCCACCAGTGAACTTCGGGCCTCACACACACGCAACAGTTGTTCATTTTGCACGTACCCATCCGTCTCCATTAATGCCCTGACCTCTCCCAACCCCTGCACCGGCCTCCCTCTTCCTCTCTCCCTGTTCATCTAGCTACATAAAAATTCAGTCTCTTCATTTCTTGATTGGATTATATTGGATTGGTTTGGTGTGTTTAGTTTCTTTTATTAGCCACACATTTGCAAAAAGTTTGGTTTAAGTTTTGCTTAATTGGCTACATCGATCGATCGCTATCTCGTCTCTGCATGCATGCCTCCTCGCCGTGACGCACGCAACCAACTCCATTGATTCGTGGCGGTCAATGGCGACCACGAGTAGCAGTAGCAGCTCTACCCTACACTGCTGGTTAATTACTGTGCATTTTCCACGGGCTAATTTAGGTAATTAATTAATTAACGCGAGCTAGCTTCTGCAGGGACGGCGGCGACGGCCGGGCGCGGCGGCGGCGGTGGCATGACATGGCCGGACGCCATGGCCGCTGGCGAGGTCATCGACGACGGCGCCGGCGGCGGCCGGTACGTCGTGGCCGAGCCGCCGCCGCCGTTCCTGGTGCCGGCGGCGCCGCACGGGTGGCTCGGAGGCCACGAGATGATGGTGATGGTGAACGACGGCGGCGACGTCGCCGCCGGCGTGGCGTCGTCGTACGACGGGATGATAGGCAGGGATCAGGGCGGCGGCGGCTCACACTTCGAGGCGGCTGCGGCGGCAGCGGCGGCGCCGGCATTCATAGACTTCCTCGGGGTTGGCGCCACATGATCGATCGATCGATCGATCGATGGATCAAACTCAAGAATCCATCCATGGACGACGACGAGGGCTCAAGATCATGATGCATATACTCCATTGACATGCTGTTTCAAGCATGCGCTCAGGTGGATCTAGCTACTAGCTACCACTAGCTCTAGCTCCTCTAGTTAGCTTGCCATAAGAAGTAGTAGCATTAGATGCATGGCTAGCTTAATTTCAATTAGAGCCAGCTATAAATATTTTCTGGATTAGTAATTAATTTATCTCTAGTGTGTAACTATATATATGTATGTGTTTATTTATTTCTAGCTAGCTAGAGCTGGGAAGAGAAGGGGGGGGTTGGTAATTTGGGGCTTGATTTTATAGAGGAGGGAGGATTACACTTTGATTAGTTGGGATTTTAGTTAAATTAGCCCCCATGCATATATATGCAACGCCAGATCATGTTGTTGATGAGCTTCATGAATGTGAACTGATGCTTTTTCAGTTGATCAGTTTAATTTAGCCAAGTGTAGATCAATTTTCAGCTGATGAGACCACCAGGGTGTAGTTTTTGTTGTTTAGTGCTTATATTTGTATGGCTCAAAGCTTTTCATCAAACCAATTAACATGGAGGGTATTTTTGCCATATGCATTAATCAACATAAATGTTACACATCACTCGATATTTTTGTATTGCAAAATCACAAGAATTTCCGACCTTGTGATTTCTTTTGTGGTTCGTTCTTAGGATGTGTTCTTCCCCCATTTTCCTAACCCACCTATCTCGTTTTTCGCGCGCACGCTTTTCAAACTGATAAACGGTGTGATTTATATAAAAACTTTCTATATGAAAGTTGTTTTAAAAAATCATATTAATCCATTTTTTTAAAAAAAGTTAATACTTAATTAATCATAAAATAATACGAGCTTCGTTTTACGTGCCGGGGCCCTCCTCCCGAACACAGCCTTAGTCTTCACCAAGCACCCAATTTGGATTCGGGGTTAGACATGGGTGGGGGGCTGGAAGCTAAGATGAAAGATGTTCCCTGGTTAAGAGGGATGTGATCGAAGTGGCAGCAACCTAGCATTGGCTCGATGGCTTGTGGCAACACTTCGACACAATAGCATAGGACGGTAACTAGGTAGTGATTAGGAGACGGTGGGAAGTGGCGACACATCTAACGGTGGGAGCTATTGGAGTCGGAGGAGGACGAAGGTATACACTACTGCAGAAATGATCTTTGTAAATGGCCAAAACATGAAGTTGGAACAAATCCGAAGCCCTCTCCACTGCTCATTGCCCCTCCTACGCTAGATCCAGGGGATGTCGCGCAGCTGCAGCGGCTAGCATGCAATTAGAGTCATTGTCGTTGTTGAGGTTGTTGTCTCAGGGCGCCTCCGGCCACCAGATCTGGCCATCGTGAGGCCACCGATGATGGAGGATGACTCGAGGTGTGCGGCGCCGATCCCGTTGCCGTCGCTCTCGCCGCCACTACTAGCAATTCATGGTTGTCATCCTGGGGCCTCCTCTGTTAGATCTGGCCATCGCGAGGCTGCAGACGTTGGAGGAGCTGAGGCACGTGGCAGCTGCTCCCGTCGCCGTATGTTGCCACATTCAAGAAGTGAAGGAGAAGTGAAGAGGGAGAAGGAGAGGATGCAGAGAAAAGATGTGAAGTGATGGGGGAGAGTGGAAGGAAAAATAAATAAAGGGAGAAGTGAATGGATAGAATATAGAACCGGGTGCATGAAAAATAAATTAAGAGAGGGATGTGTTCAGTCATGCAAAGCCCTTCAACCACCGCTTGTGAAAATCCGTTGTATATTTTTACATATGGGTCTCTTTTTAGTCTATTTGTAAAAATAAAGGGTATGTCTGTAAAAATCGTATTTTATAGTGATAAGCGACTAGAGCTGTAAAAAGATAGTTGTGAAATCGAGAAGTGGGGAGAAGGATGTGGGAATGTGCAGCGTGGTCCAACAGTGAACCGGAAGAATTACATGATGTAGCCAGAAGAAATGTGTCGAGTGACACATAGATGGTTTCTTAATTAATCTATGAAGTGTATTTTTGACATATGTCTTCATACAATATAACTAATCCAAGAAAGCTATGTTAATTTAAGTGGGAGAGACTGAAAATGAGGTAACGCAAACAAATTGATAGAATCGGTGGAACATTTTCTGTAATTAATTGTGTATTAGTTGGTATATATATATATATATATATATATATATGCTTACTACTAATGTTTTCCTATTTATAATATAACAGGTGTTGTTTCATAATGTTAATTTGTCTCTTTGATAAAGACAGGTATATGAGATTGTGGTTGTTGTGCGTTGTGCTGCAGAGAGAATATAATATATACTCACTATCATTTTCAAAAAAAAAAACTATCTCTGCATTCATAATGTTCTCATCCTTTATACCTCTAATTGAGAAAACCCCTAACCAAATAAAAACTAGTGCTTAATTTGAATAATTTAAAATCACCATAAATTATTGAATTCCCCACCCCTAAATTTGACAAACTTAAACCAAATTTGAAGCAATTTCAATAAAGGCTAAATTACCCGAATGCCCAAAAGTTTTGGTATTCTCAACCTTTTTTGCTCAAAGATCAAAATTTGTGTTTTGAATGAATTAACAAAGTTTAGCTAAAAATTATAGGAATGTTTGGATTTTAGATTTTTGAATTTTGTAAAAAAAATTGTTGATTAGGGTAATATATAATGTCTAACTAGGAAAAACAAATGTATAACTCAAACATTTTTTCCTTTGTGAGGTTTTAATCTATAGTGTGGGGATTGTCACTTGCATTATATATGAGCAAACAGTAACACAACGCCACAACCATTTGAAAAAAAAACGAGTATTACAAGTCACAGTAATATATTGAAATGTGTCATTCATAAAGAACTTAGGGTGCTCTATAAAAACTTGATAGTAGTATTTTCTTAAATTTACAAACAAATTAACAGTCAACACAATACCAAATATAGCCCTAGAATGTCGTTAAACTCAAGTGTGTATGGTCTAGTGTAATTAATGCAAGCAAGCCCTATGATGATTGAATTGGTACACAAAACACTGTGATCAACTGTGCCAACATAAAATTAGTGGCAAAATTAAGACCATAGTACTCCTACTATACTAGTAGCAAATAGCAAAGCCCCAGTGACTGCATGTATTACTTGTGTCCACATTAACTAATTCACTGCTCATGAGTGTGAAGATTGTACATGTACACAAGCTGGCTATAGCTTGACCATGTTCCAAATGGTGTTCATAATTAAGGGCTTGTTTGCATCCTGGCTAGCTAGAGATTGTCCTTCCATGGTGTGAGTGTGTGTATGTGTGTATAGTTCGTAGGCAATCAATGAATGCGTCCATGCACTCAATTGAGTAGAAAGTGACTGCTCAATTCAGTTGAGACGTCCTACATCTCAGATACGTACGTTTCCATGTGTCGGGGTTATAATGGGCTTGTCTCTTTTGTAGAGGGAGAGAGAATTAGCTAACATACAACTGTTCCAACTGATTCTTGTTTTTGGATCGAGTATAGTTTAATTGTGCTGGAATCATTCGTGATTAGGTAGCTAATGGGGTACTATACTGCTGATCATGAGAAGATTTTTGGTTTCTTTTACAGCCTTTTTGAGAAAAAACACAGGTAGGGAACATGCGTGATATGATTGAAGGAGTTCGTTCCCATGGTCCTATGTGAGTGAAAGGGAGAGGTCGCAGATACAAACCCTGTGTACAAGTAGATCAGTTGCTGAATGGTCGATTCATTGGCATTGTCAAGGTACTGTTAGCTCTTCTCTGCAGGCTCTCAGCTCCAGCTCATCCATAACTAAAATCCTCACTTTCGACTCAAGTATATAATTAAATTTAGTTTCATAGATTCCAGAATTAATTAAAACCCATGAATTTAGATATTCTGTTCCACGACTTCTAAGAAAATTCCTTACGTACACACGAGATTTTATTGAATCACCCCTAAGTTGCTCATAAATATGTCATATTTAATTGGTCAAATGCCCAATTGTGACGAGATGTTAAATATACTTTTATCCTCTCCTCCATAGTTTTGATAAGACAGTCCTGTGTGCACGTCATTGTTCGGTATAGTAGCCTCCATATGTCAGCTGATGGTGTGGGAATCGGTGGTGGTAGATGGAAGATTCATCAACTTCTCCCAAATGTTGATGGTTAGTCCAAATTTACTCACTACTTTAGAGTCGATTTTTCCAAGCGGCTAAAACATATATTCGTAGGTGGGGTAGTAACTGTTTTCTCCAGGTATATGTAAAAATAGAAATTTTCTCTTATGGACAGTACAACCATGCGCAAAAGGAGTTCACCTAAAAAATAATAATAATAATAAAAAGAAAATCCCAAAAATATCTGAAACCCTAACAGATGGAACTCCCGTGCCTAGGATCCATTGTCGCCATCACTACCACTATGCCTTTTAAAGCAATATAGATTTAGATTGAACTCCTAAAACTTTTTAACCATCCAGAACTTCCGAAATTCATAAATGTTTGACCAAATCTATTTACAAACATCAAATATTCATGTATTAATTTTATGAGATAAGGGAGTGTAATTTTCTTCCCAAATAAATATTTTTCGACCAAGATGACCGATTAGGCCAACAATGACTCATTAGTCAATCAGCTTTCACGAAAAGCGGTCGGTTTTCATGAAATCGCTAGGCCTCAGTTTGCAGAAACCAATAGGTATTAGTCGGTTTCCGTACAACGTTGATAGAAAATCGTTGGTTTTTACTAATTAATACTTTTTGGTCGATCGGTTGGGTAAACCGGTGAGCTAGGAGAGGTAGCGCGCACGCGCCAAAAACGTAATGGCCGCCGCGGCAGCAGCAGCGGTTGATTAGACCTGTCGGCCACATGCTCGCGCGGCGTACGTGCCGGCCGGCCGGAACCAAGGTCCCGCCCAGCCCGGCCGGCGACCAAGACGACGACGACGACGACGCTGATACACACACGTAGGACTACTTACGTCTCCATCTCTAGGCCCTAGCTAGCTAGCTAGATACCCAATCCGTCCCAAAATATAAGTATTTTTAGCACAGCATCAAGTCAAATATTTGTAACTTTGACTATTAATAGAAAAAAAATAATCAATCATGTAAAATTGATGGTACTAGATTTATTATTATCATGATATGTATTTTTTATATTTAAAGTATAGATATTGTTGATCAAATTAGTATCTTGGAGATTATATCAGGGTCCAAAAATACTTATATTTTTGGACGGATAGAGGGAGTAGTAGTTATATATGAATCATGTCAATTAGTAGTAGTAGTACAGCTACTACTCACCGTGCCTCTCGGCGCACGCAGAACACGCCGCTGTTTTCAATACTCCGAGAGGAGCCTTGTTAAACTCGTCTCCTCCGCGGCCGGCTGGCCGGCCGGTGTCCGGAGATGCCGGGCAAAGGCAGGCATGCATGGTCCCCGGAGAGGTGCGTGAGATCGATCGATCGATCGATCGGATGGACGGACGCGTACGTGTACGCTCGCCGACGGCGACGGCTCGCGCGGCCACGGCCACGGATGCGCCGGCCGGTGATCGATCGATCGAGAGATCGAGTAGTCTTCGTGGATGCAAGGAATGCTATGCTCTTGGCTCTCCGTCGGCGGCGGCGGCGGCGGCGTACGTACGACGTTAATTAATTTGTCGCTTCCTCGCCGGGATCGTCGGCCGCGGCGGCACATGATGCGGATTAAATACGTGCCTACGTACGCCGTCGCCATGCGTCGTTGGAGACGAGCCTCTATTTTAGTGGCTCCCGGTGTAAATACAGTAGTAGTAATTGATTTATTGATTGAACTCTCGTACGTACGTGTCGTCGCATATACGTCACGTTTAGCAGCAGGATATGTATGGTTTTTGAATTGAATTTCAGTAGAGGTGAAAAAACATGACAGTCACTGATGAGCGTGAATATATGGTAGCTTCGACACAGCATATCTGTCGTCTTTTTCTATTACACGATTGATGCACGTACATATATATGCAGTCACCGCTATTCACACGTCATGTACGTATCGATCTTATTCGTGCAATACGTACTTCATTCATACAACTGCCAGTGTGTCCTCCAAACCACACACTTCGACAGGCAGAGTGCACTTAACAACCAATATTTGGGATTGAGCAGCTCCATGGAATACGCAAATCGCGAAGTAACCGTAACTCAACTAGTTAAATTCCTCATGAGACGAAGCTAGCTCATCCAAATTTAAGTTCTAAACTTACACATGTGCTCAAATTTACGTCTAATTATTTTTTCAATTGTAGTCTTGTAGACGATGTATATGTGTCGACAGCGAGACACCCATAATAACTTTAGTGCGTGTGTTCTACAGTGTTTCTAAGAAAGATTAGATATGCAAATTAGCAATCCTTGGGAGCATAAATACATATTCCCTCCGTCCCATAATATAAAGGATTTTGACTTTTTCTTACACTATTTAACCATTCGTCTTATTAAAAAAAGTTAGAATTATTATTTATTTTATTTGTGACTTACTTTATTATCTAAAATACTTTAAGCATATTTTTTTATTTTTTATATTTGTATAATTTTTTTAATAAAACAAATGGTTAAACAGTATAAGTAAAAAGTTAAAATCCCTTATATTCCCTCCGTTTCAAAATGTTTGACACCGTTAATTTTTTAAGTACGTGTTTGACCATTCGTCTTATTTAAAAAATTTAAGTAATTATTTATTCTTTTCATATTATTTGATTCATTGTTAAATATATTTTCATGTACACATATAGTTTTATATATTTCACAAATTGTTTTAATAAGACGAACGATCAAAACATAACATGAGTATTATTATGGGACTGATGGAGTACCATGTACGATGCAAGTAGGCAGTGCAGGGAGCGATATATCCGGGGGTGGGGGTGGGGGTAAGTGGGCGCCTGGGCGGTGGAGGAGACGCAAGTGTCAATCGGAGAAATTAAAGGCAAAAACGGTCCATGCCAAGCGCTTGACGCGGCCACGAGATCGACGGCCCCCGTCCCCGTACGTCGCGCTCCATCTCCATCAACATCGCTCCCCTCGCCGCATCAGACAAACAGCCGCAGTGCCATTCTTCCTTGCAACCAGTGCACTGCACTGCACTGCAGGGCTACCAAACGACTATAATATTGTTTACGTGGAACGTGCGCTGCTACCTGTAACTGGAGTACATGGCCGCCGGTCACCGTCCACGCTGCCACCCTGAACACAAACACAAAAAAAAAATGAAAAAAAAAGTTATATATCTGGTTGTTTCATCACTCGCGATTAATATAACCAGCTACAAATTCACAAGAGAAACGGCTTACTACTATCAAACACCAAATCATATCATCATCCGGTCTCTGCTCCGGTCGGCGTACGGCCGCGCCCGCCCTGGCGACGGTACGCGCCGAGTGTCCGTGCACGGGGCACTGTGGCCGCGTTCGTGCATGACGCGATGGCCTTTTGTCCGTTATCCATGGCGACCTCCTCCATCCCGCATCCATCCATCCATCACACGCCCCCTCGCTCCCCCCGTGTGATCCTGCAGGTTTGTGGGGGCACACGCAAGTAACAGTACAAGCTACTATTCTCTCTCAGTCTTTCTCCTCCCCCGGAGCCTATCCAGATCAAGCAGAGCAGCCACACGGCCGGCCGCCCTGGCTGGTCGATCCATGACTGTGATCAGCTCGATCTGCGGTTAAAAGTTAAAAAACCAGATGCAAACTTGCAGGTAAGGAAGTCACATGCAGTCAAAAAAAAAGGGGGAGCAGGTCAGGTGAGGTGAGCCACAGGTTAGTAATAGTACCTGCTTAGGATTGGCAGAGGGGAATAATTTGGAGCAGGGGATCACTCAGGCTGCCTGCCACTTTGGGTTACTGGGCACTGGCTGGTGGTGGTGACAAGGAGAGCTTCTGCTTGACTGCTCTGGACATATCACATACTATGGTTGAGGAATGAAGAACAGGTTAACACAGGTCAAAAAGAGTGTGGTTAGAACTTATAAGAGATGAGGATGGCGTTAGCGAAGGAACATTTGTGTTCTCCAGCTGATTATTCCAGTAAAAAAGATTCCGAAACCGGAATGAATAACAATTAGCTGTTTGAGCAATGATGCTTTAGATGCGGAAGTCCGCTTCAAGGAAGCTGTGGTTGTGTCCTTCGGTGCCAAATTTTCAGTGAGCACAACGCCGTCCAAACTGGAAGGTTGATTTTATTCACTGTTCGATGGTACCGCTTGTCAGGCATGATCATGAGAAAAGAAGTCATCTTCACAGCTGTTGTCATGCTTCGACTTCCTGTACCTTGAGTGATTCTTTTGAGGCGATAACATCCTCTAGGTCTTGTGGCGATAACAGCTTCGTGGAAGGCTTAAACCCTGTGTCATCAGAGAGCACTGCCTCTGGTTCTGTGGGTTCGACTGTGAAGTGGTCTCCGAGGGCAGAGATGATCCCTTCGGTGAAAACGGATCGTGATGGCATATACTCCTTCATGCGACACAAGAAATCTGTGTGGTTCCTCGCCTGAAAAATAAGATAGGGCAATTGATATGAACATCAGCATAATGTCGAGGAGCCCTAAAGTTAAAAAGCTCACAAATGCAAGCCGCGCAATCACAGCGTCTGTGATTTAGGCTCAGTTCTAGTTTTAGCATTCCTAAAATCAAAACATACATTGAATTGAACAAAAGCGTGTGATGACTTCAGAACCATCATTACATATAACGAATAATTGAATTTTGTTCTACGGGAAAAGGAGATGTGTACATTTAGGTACCGGTGGCAATGGGCCACTTGAGGATCAAAGCTAATCTGCTAGTGGTCCAGAGGATATCAGCAGGTTCCCAGACAAGTTGCTGCTTGCAGCCGCTGGAATTTATAAATTGTTTCATGCAATACCAGATCTTCACATCCAACAGCAGGTAGAAAACCAGTATGCTCCACTCAATGCTTTGTTTTCAGCTAGATGATATTCAAGTACAAGAAAATAAATGCTTATATTGAAATCCCTTGAGTACTTCACTTTTAAGGTTTCAATATCATCCCCCGGAAAAAGAAAAGGTTTCAATATCATCAGTCAATGGTAAGCTAGAGTTTTGCATTGCTCAACTCTTTGGGCTGGCTGGACCTAGTCGAGTGATACACCCTTAAAACTACTACTGTTCTACTTTTCTGCAGAATTACTGTTGATGTTGCTAAAATCATTAGTGATCAGTTACTGGCATTTGGTTCTAACCACAGACTGCAAAAATGTTTTCACACTTCAGACCAAATTCTAGGCAGAAGCTCGCTTACTACAACAGAAGTCAGTATTGGAAGTCATGTGCATAGATAGTCTAAATAACCAGATCAGACTGGAAGTTTTAACAGGAGAAAACCTGAACCATGGCCTTAATGGCACAGCTCCTTTCAAAGATTGTTTGTGGAAGTGGACAAGAGAAAACAGGCCCAACAATCTTGCAAAACCAGCAAACGGACAGTTTCGAAGCAATCGAACTGCCTTTTTGTTGGACATGAGAAGAGAAAGAAATAGAAAAGGGTTAAATGGGCTGACTGGTGGTCTGGCCCAGACAGCACCTTGGGCTCCCATGGCCTATCTTCTCTCCCAATCTGGTTAGTTTATTGTCGTCCAACAATATGGAGCGGAGCACAGATCCACAATCACCGTCATCCACCAAAATTCAGAAGGGCCATCATCTGCCATTGGTACAGACTGGGTGGGGGCAAAGATCAGTAGAGGTAGAGGCTTGCAGAGACAGCCTGACCTAAATTGCTCAATCGGGATACACATGCAGTTAGGTTCCATGCAGGTACAGGTGACTAGATTACTCTGTATCTCCATTTTGTCGTTAATATAAAGTGGCACTTCTATAGTTATGTTCATAGTATTTCAGAATAAAAGTAGTACCCTGGTAATAAATTATCAATATTAAGATAAAGGTGGTTCAAGCAGCAAATCATTAACCAGACAACCAGTGGACTCGCGTTTTCCGTCAACACAAGTTTTCAGAACTATGGAACACATTATAAGACCGTCTGGTAGGAAAAAAAAATATTGAAGCCACTACCAGCTTGTTCAGTGCATTAGTTATCTTGAACTACAATAGCCAGGTAGCTACTAACCAGCAGTTTATAGCTCAGTTTTTCTTCGCTATATTGTGGAAATATCTATACTCTTTTAAAAGAATGCAATGGTGGTGGCAGTGAATCTGCTCCCCACCAACTTTGTTGTATAGTCCTTTTTTTGGAACCAAATACTCCTTCATGAGCTTTGATATCACAAATAATCCTTCTACATATGAATTCTATCTTATTTCATCTCTAGAATACAAATTTATTGTACAAAGACATCTAACAGGGACGAAATTGTCCCAAAAACCTCACAATTAATTAACTCCAAGCAATATTGGCACACTTATAATTTATTCTAATCCATAGCAAAGCATGGGTATTTAGCTAGTAATCCTAAATTTGATTATTAGCTTACAAACTACAGGAACTGATATCCAAGCATATCTACTACCTAACCAAACTACAAATTTTATGTTTGCCTGAAATGTTAAAATCTAGGTGTTGATAAGTATATAGAGGGAAAAATAATATGAAAAGAACTGTACCAGTCGATAATCAGGTGCACGTTTTGGGATTTTGAGATAATCCATATTCTTCATATCATAATCCCATAAGAATGATGTATGATGAACCCAACGATCTCTTGTAATGGATTGAGCATTTCCTCCAAACTTCCTTTGACTAAAGGCATAATCTGCAGAAGTAAAAATACATGAATAAATTAACTTCTAGGAGAACACTTACTACAGCATAAAGTACATACTCAAGCAACATCAGAAGGAAATATGTTGTTAGTATCTCTTCGATAGTAAAATTGGACTAATAAAAAAAACTGAACATTTAATTTGAGACTTTTAAATGAAAACTAGGATATGAATATGCAAGTTGTACATGTAGTATAAAACACATCATGTTTTTTTATTAATCAATGTCATACATGCTATAGAGGGCAGAATGAAATAACGATTACGAACATGGAAATTTCCATCAATTTCGGTAAAATAGGGGCATTACAAAATTTGCTGTCAAGTGATGAAAGACCAGACGCTATGGCATACCATTCTCACGCAGATGAAATTCACCGAAACCATCAAACACCTTGTCATACAACTGACCAGTCCAAGACATGATATCCCGCGGAAATGGCTGCAGTCCAGGAATGGCGGTCTTGCTGCATATGAATGTGGCAAACACTGTCCCCTGATCGACGATGACTGTGCCACCACCACTGAACCTCCTTATAACCGGAACTTTATCCCGGAGGACCGGCTCAATCTCGACAAGCTCCGAAACTCTCCTGTCATCACCGAAACCCCGTCATCAACAGAAGTCGTCTCCTCAACAACGAGCAGGACACGGCACTACACCACATTGTTTACGGCGGCCACCAGGAAGAAGTGCTTGCTTACCCTGACACGCCCATGACGATGGTGGCAGGAGCCGTGCCGTCGTTGATGATGCACCAGTTATCCCCGGTACGGCGCAGCAGCCGTTCCTCCAGGTGCAGCTGCCGCAGGATCGGCACGCCGCTCATGGTGACCAGCCGCATGAGCGGGCGACCTGCGCCCCTCGCTCCAGCCACCCCAGCGGCCATTCTTGTCTCGGAATGGGCGGCTCACGCTGGGAGTCTCTCAGTGGCGCATTCCGTCGAACAGGCCGCGCGCGCGCCGCAGCTTGGCAGGGTCAACCCCTCCGGGACCTCGACGAGGATGCCACGCAGAGCGCGTGGATAGGGAAGGATCGAGGCCGTCGGCGCCGTGCCTACGGGCGGCCCTCTCGCCGGCGACGCGCACGCGAGGCCGCGAGAGGGCGAAGCCTACCTCCGCCGGCGAGACGGGGAGGGAGATGAGAGAGGAGGACGAGTTTGACCAGATTTCCTCTTCTTTTTTTTTTTTTTTTACTTTCGCTTTCTTATTATACTGTCCTATCTGGGCTGGGCTGGAAAAAATTGGACCAGAAGAAGAAGCCTTTAGGCCTCCATGGGCCGGATAGTTAGCAGGTGTGGCCCATTCGTGTGGGCCCAATTGCACATATGCAACGGGCAAAGATGACCAGACCAGCCCATGTTGTAGATGCCTCGTACTAGCAGATACAATACACATTATTTTTGTTTTAAAAAACACATTATTTCTTCCTGTTTATATCAAATCAACTGTTGTTTTTCAACTGTACACTAATTTATATCGAATCACACTTGCACAACAAACAGATGATCATTTGATTGTGTGTTTATCTTTTGATATATTTAGAAATGGATTTTGGGTTATTGCCTCTCCATAAAATGGGTAGTGTATTCCTCTTTGGGGGAAGATGCATGTATATTTTTTGGGGAAATAACATATTTGCAAACAAAAAATAATTTGTGAATAAAACTTTTATATACATGTTTATAGCGAAATAAAACAAAGGCTGAAAATTAAATTTTGATGAAATAACCCCAAAATTAACTTCAAATTTAATGTTGAAAATTTAAATTTTGGCTGATAAGTATAAGTATAAGTGAAAAGATAAGGCCCGATATGTTGTAACACATTGTGATTGAATCTTGATCCAACTTAGAATTTTCTTAGAAAAAAAATTCAAGAATATTGTAAGTACATATAACACCGTTTTTTCTCTTTATAATTATTCGGTTGTAGTACCAGTCGATCTTTTCTTTAACCAGGCTAGCCGAAGAAGAAGGCCGGCCAATTTCCGTCAAAATAACCATCATCTTTTCCATTCTGTGAACTTATTTTTTTTAAAAAAAAACTGTAAGCTCTCATAACTTGTGCATACTCACCCCTATAAACGCACACACGTACACACCATCCTTGTGAGCATTTTTGAAAGACTAGCGGAGCATATATTAAGATTAACTAAGTCATCGCAGACATCTCGCTGTCGACGGATGCATTGCCTAGCCTATCACTGATAGAATAATTATCTGCGAGCTTATGTGTAAAGTCCAGAAATATGTGATTATGTTAAGGAATAACTAATGATGGTTTTCGAAGCATCTGTGTGCATTATCATGCAGGTATTTCTTTTACTGATTATATCCAAAGTGTTCATTGCAAACCATCGCTTTGTGTGACTGCTCTGAAGCGTTGAAACCAAACAGAGTAAATCTTATTAAGAAGCTTAAACGTTATTAGAATTATCTTGTTTTGTTATGGCTTTTTTTGTGTGGTGAAAAAAAATGTGATTCTTTTACTGGTGAGTCTGGTGTTAAGCGTATTAGCAGAACAAATATAAGTACGCATTGACCATTTTTTTGGGGGAATACACCAAAGAGTAGCAAGCATTCACCATTGCGGATGCAGCTCTGGATTAAAAGTGACTGAATCTGTACGGATTTTTTTTTTTTTTTGTCTTTGAATCGATACGCAATACTGAATCAATGCGCAAATGAAGCACTTGACAAGCAATTAAGCGTAGTTTATCCACCATAATTAAGATCGAGACCATGAGATAGCTAGAACACTGCTGCTACCATGAGATAGTTTATCCCCCTGTAGTACTGTACATCAGAAATTCACCACTCAACTCACCCCCTCACCCATGCATCCAGATCCATGCATGCAGGAAACAATTACCACAACACACACAGTAAGTCTGAATCTCATCACATCCATCTCTCTCTCTCTCCTCCCCCCAATTCATTAACATCTTATACATGCATACTCCACAAAAAAAAAAAGAAGAAACAAGAAGAGAACATCTTCCATCGCCCAATCATCGGTTTCACCAGCCTGAACTCATCAAGCTCCTTGAGATGCCCTGGCCCTGATGAAATCGATCACACGCTCAGCCTGACAGCGTCTGGATGATGGTGTTGTGCCACGGGTCAGACAGGTGCTGCAGCAGGTTGTCGAAGGGCCCCTTCTGCGTCACGTTGTGCTGCACCAGGAACCCCAAGAACGCCAGCATCGCCAGCCTCCCTGCAACAACAACATCAACAAAAATTCAGAACAATGGCGTCGTTTCATTGTATGCTGCTCTTCTTTTCTTCTGATATATTGATAGAATCGTACCGTTGGCGAGCTCCTTCTCCTTGGCCTCGAGGGTGGGCTCGAAGTTGAGGGGGTTGAAGACGCTGCCGGGGTAGCCGCACTCGTGCGGCGGGAGGCTGTAGCTCTTGAAGATGGGGTCCTGGTTGACGCAGCCAGGGTTCTTGATGTCCTGCCACCGCCGGATCTCCACGTAGTGGAACAGGATGAACTCGATGACGAACAGCGTCGACGACGACGCGAAGTAGGTGGCCTTGCCGGCGTCGTACCACTGCGGCGCGTCGATCAACCCGATCTTCGTCAGCACCTCAGGCAGCAGCATCCCGGCCACCCCCAGCATCGCCCACCGCCCGTTCACCAGCTCCGCCTGCACGAACCACCGCAGGTTCTCCGGGTCCTCCGCCAGACCCAACGGGTCGAACCCGTTATCGCCTGGCAAGCTGTACACACCCGTTTAACTATCGTGTTAGTAGTTTTTTTATGATGCTCTCTACTGGTAGTAGAAATATATTTTTTTTATGTGTGTGCTCACCTGCCGTTGAGGTAGGTGGGAGAAGGGAGGCCGGGGAGCCACTCTCCCTTGGCCTCCGCCCGAACATTACGCCTCGTAGTCGGTGCGCGGGCGAGGCGGGTGGAGGATTGCCCTAGGAAGGTAGACTTGAGCGACGCCGACGAGCGGAGGGCTGCGACCGGGGTGCGGGCGGTGACGGACGCCATGGCTTAGCTTCCCCGGCTTAGAGAGGGGAGGAAGCGAAGCGGGTGTAGTCACAAGGGTACGTTTTGGCCGGCACGGAGCAAAGGCGTGGCTTGTATTAAACTGTCCGGGAGTGGCCGGCGCTGCCAGGTGTCCACGGCGGCGAGGGCGGCGACGGACGGCGGAGATCGGTGGTGGGGGTGGATCGGACGGCCAGGATGCGTTGTTGGGTGGGTGTGGCCAATGGGAGGCGTCGCCTCTTATCCAGCGTTATCCGGATGCCGGGATACGGGGGAATCAAAGGGAGGGTTTCTATTGGATGGAGGTCTCAGCTGTGGCTGGTTGCTGCTGCCACGTCGGACGGGTGAGATGGTTGGTGCAGATCGCTCGGAGCCTCGGATTTTTATGTTGCTGGATCACTCAACTCACGTATATGTACTTCAGGTTTTGGAGCAGTGAAAAAAAATATCTGGGAATTGGATAATTGTAATGTTTTTTACTAGAGCAGCAACAAGGGAATTGGATAGTTGTGATGTTTACTGCAATGTTTGTTACTAGAGCAGCGATGTTTACTGGAGCAAAGGCAGTATAGCCATGGCTGACTCTGAAATCGGAATCACGTAATTAGTAGAAACCTTGACGTAAGAGTTTGTTTCCAATCTTTCCATGATCCAAATAGCTCATGAACAATCGTAATTCATGTCCTGAATGGGGTTTCATCTGCGCAGATTTGGAGGGGTTATTATTTGCAACCAACCAGCAGATTTGCCGGGGTTCTTATTTGCAATCATCCAGGTAACAACCCCCCCCCCCCCCCCCCCCGGGGGGCGCCCCACACAAAAAAAAAGCAGCACATAGGGTACAGCACCTGCATAAAATTCCAGCGGAACACTTATCTACACCGAAAAAATATAGGGCACGAAGAAAAATTTCAGTTTCGAGCTGAACAATACCAGGCATGCTAAGGATGGGAATTTCTAATTGCCGGACAGTTTACAGACAGCGACTGACGCAGAGGCACATTTGCGACAGGGAGCTCACTGAGTTACAATATGAATAGCTGCATAGACGAGTTACAACCCAAAATTTGAAGAGAAGATACCCAGACCCGAGTATTGCAGGCAACATTTGCAATTGCTCTAATTGCTTGTACATCGGATAAAGATAGATTATTTCGGGAAATACATTGGTTGGCCAGCCGGTGGAGCATGGTGTGGAGCAGCTGGGGGTACACCATACTGTGGCATCTGATGTGAGGCCTGGAACGATACTGGCAGTGCTCCGGAACTGGATCCAATTCCTGGATAGTGTGGAACTGATCCTGGCATCATTGGTTGGGTTGGGTATGCAGACGATGCCGATCCAAAAGCACCTGCCTGCATGTTTGGATTCCAAGCTGGCACTTGTCCAACAGGAGTCGCTGCCGCAGTGCTGCCATAAAAGGAAGCACTGGGTGCGGTGTTTTGCCATGCCACTCCTGGAGTGCTAGGACCTGGGGCTTGCGCTGCAGCTTGCATTTGTGCACTAGGATCTGATGAAACAGTGTAGTCTCTGCTTCTCTCATCATGTGCCTGAATGTAAAAAAATAGAACTCCATTAGGAGGAAAAATGCAGAAGGAAGCTGTAGGAGAAAAAAGAAATATGTTCAGAAAGCGTACTTTGTCAAATTGAATGAATGATATATTATTCTGCTTTCATGTAGCAGTACGCTATTTTCTAAATGAGTTACATTCACTATTCATTAGTCAACAATTAGTCAACTGATATATGTACTTCAATATTTATTAATTTACACAGCCTGAAACTATCATTTATACCTTTACATTGAGATCAGTATGACGAGAGTATGACAGATGAAGCTTACAGTAACCTCCATCATATATGCAGTGCCCTTCCAAAGCTTGTTTAGCAACTGCTGCCGTTGTGATGTCTGCAATAAAACAGTTTTTTCAATTATAAGATAACTCCAATAAACTAAAATGGTATTGCAATGCATGATTAGATCATTGAAAAGCTGAAGTAAAATAGATTCCATTGGCAAATGAGGAATGCATTTGTAGTGCTTGTGATCGAGGAAACAAAGTGAACAGCAAAACTCTTTCCGTTTGATGAAGTAATATTTTTTGTCCCAAGTTACACAAACTAGTGAAGTCATTTCTGGAGGATCAGAGATTTGATAAAACCAAATTCCAAATATTGTAATATGAGGTGCCACTATGAAGTCACACTTAGGTATAGATATAGCCATAGAAATTGACCACACATCAAATGCCACGATGGCTTTTGGACTGCAGATGCAAGACAGGTCTTTGTTGACATGGTGAACGCTAATCTTACTCAAAAGTGCAAGGATTGGAAACAATTAAGATAGGTATTATCTAATGCAGAGTACCAGGAGGAAAATATTGATGCAGTGATGACAGAAAGACCTCAGAAGCAAACCTCTACTAAGAAAGAGAATATGCTTACACAGAAGGTAAAAATGATCAAGAAATTACTAAAGGCAACTTTATAGCTGTGGATAGTTGCAGATGTCCATTCTAAGCCTTCACGAACTCCGACACCCCTCTGCTGAAGTTTCCAGGTTTAGAAACTTATGATGCATAAACAAATATGTAGCTCAATAGTCAGCATGGCATCACAGGTTACACGGTTTATTATCATCTATGAGATGGCTTATCAGGAACTAACTATAGTACTATACGATGAATGAACAAATATCACACCCAAGTGCATTCAGGTTATGTACATCCAACAAAACAAGGTGCAAAAAATCCTGTGAGCTGCATGCTAGTTGGAAAATACCTGGATATTGAATTAAGGCCTGCATTCCACCATTCTTCTCAAACATTGCAATCTTTTGAACAGTACCAAAAGCAGAGAACACCTGAAATTATCTCATAACATGATTATATACTAATTTTGTCCTTATTTTAGATAAAACACCTGGAGTCAGTAAGAATAAAATATACTTACAGTATGTAGAACATCCACCGTCACAGCATACTGCATGTTCTCTATTGAAGCCAAAAGCACATTGCTCTCAGGCTCCTTTATCTTCCCATCAGGGCCTAAAGTGGGCTGCATAACCTCCACTGTAAGGAAGGAGAGAAAGAACACAACGAATAGTATGAAATGTTAAAGCATACCTGTGCGATTCCCTCGATTGCTGTTGGATTCACAGGAAGATATGGATTCGTGTAATCCCTGTAACCAAACAGTTAGTGATGTGAATTTGAGTATTGTCTCATCAAGCATATGCTAATGGAGGTTAAAATCAAATTTAAACATCGCCAGCTTCCCTCTTTACCTGCTACGATGTGATTGAAACTTGATATTCAAATCCTTGTGCGCAGAAAAGGTTATGCGCAGGTGACAGGTGGGGACATGTTCAGGAAGTAAATATCTGCATGACTTGACATTTCAGTAATGCTGCATCGGAGGTTTGTAGCGCATAATAATAATAGTTATAAAATGAAGTGCTACCTCGGGATGCTTCTTCCATCCAACGAATTTTTTGCTTCTAGTGCAGTTGGAGCATCAGTATATTGGATAAGTGCCTACGAAAATTCCAGCTGATAAGCTGAACTTACAAGAATTATAGTAGCAGCTCAATATAAGAACTATCTTACCTGGAAACCAGCAGCCTTCTCAAAGGTTGCTATCTTGTGGACAAACCCAAATGCGGAAAATACCTAAAACATTCACAAACCATTGCGACAAAAGATGAGGATACAAGTCCACTTTCGAGTTTCGACTAATCAGTCGAAGAGCACATGCAAGATTATGCAGAAAGAGAAGGACATGGAGCATAGAACTGAATTGTACTGAAGTAATGAACTTGGATGCTATTATTATATTAGTGAACATGCTATGCTGACAAGTCATATGATGCAGGATGACAAATTGAAGAAGTAATAAACCTGGTAGAAGAAAGAGGAGATTTTGAATTTCCCTTGACATGGAGGTGCCATTTAAGTATCTTAACTGCCATACAATGTATGTGAAATAGGCAGTCTGCAGTGCTTTTAAAGACTACGTGAATCATTAAGTTTTTCGCCAGGAATCAGTATGCATGTCCTAAAGTCCATGGATTAACATTGTCTAGCAAGCATAACAAATCAATAATAGTGTGCATTTAGTAATTAGTTTACATCAAGCCGGTTTTATTTTGATAAAGATATGTCCCGATAAAAAAAAGATCACTGTATCATAGCAACAGAGGCCCAAGTCAATTTTGAAATATAGGCAATATAAGTTTATTCCAACCAAGCTGTTAGCTAAGTGAAGTGCATCACATGTAAAACATGCATACTTACCAAATGAATGACATCTATGCTAATATCATTAGGCTGGACACCTTCAAAAGTGACAAGAAGAACATTGCCAGAGGAATCACCAGTTCCTTTATTGTTGGTAATTTCTTGTCTGTTTGAGTACTGGATATATACAGTTTTGCCACGAACTTGAGCAGGTTCTGAAGAAGAAGCATAATATGAAACCATTGAAATTGCCTGGTTTTGATCTGCCTGAAAAAAGGTACATTTATAATATAAGTGAGGAACAAAGAACAGCAATTCAATGTCCAGTCTACAGTTCACTGTTCATTTGAAACTTCCGCTAAATCAATCCAAAGGGCAACACATTTATGCAACTAAATAATAATAATTGTGTCATTTTCTTTTATTACATAGAGAACACCATGGCTGTTAAGGCGTCACTTTAGTGTCTCCATAGTGGTTAGCGGTTGCATGGGTCAAGACACCCACTCTGCCTTATAGGCAAAACCAGTGAAGAAAGGGAAAGAAGGGGGCAAGCTCATACTGGAACCCTAGCTGGTTGTGGTCACCTTCCTCAATCCTTACCACAGCCAGCTTGCTGTCGCAGATCCCACACCCCTACCATCAGATCTAGATCCAGATCCCAGCTGCTGCTGCTTGCTGCAGCTCAATCTCTGGCAGCGGCAGCGGTGGACAGAGAGGTGGGCAGAGGCATTGACCTCTGATGGCAGTGATAGCTGGCAGAGGTCAGCTATGGGGGAGGTGGCTGAAAACAGGCGGCTGCAGATGTCGATCTCAGCTTGCGTGCCTAGTGTTCTGCTCCTCAACTGGCTGCGCACGATGACGTGGGGGTATTGTCATGAAGCTGATGTTGGTCTTCTGTGGACTGGCAGCTTGGCCTAGTGGTTTTTTTCTCCTTCTAGCTATTTTCTTTGCAGATTTCTCCCTTAATCAAGCCTCCTCCATCTCATATTACACTGCCTTGTTGCACCTTGTGTGCTATGATGCTTAGGCATACCCACGTTATCTTAAACCACCTTAACACCTTAATAACACTGAACACTTCTTTTTACAACAAGGTGAAAAATTGCTTTAATAAATCATCTTTTCTGATACCCCAATTCAACATAACCAACAGGCCAACAACCTTACAAAACAAATAACATTGAAATAGAAAAGTTTCAAGGAACCAAAACTGGCCATAAAAATCCTGATTCCAAAAAGTGATACTACAGCATACAGAATGAGGAACACAACCTTTTTAGCAATCAACAATCAAACATGTATAAATAAAAACTTAATGCAGATCTCTTATCAATTAACAGATAGCCCAAAGCTTGCTCACTAGATAAGTCATCCTTCCAACAGCAGTATCTTCCTCGCTGTTAATTTTATTATTCAGGTTAACAAATAAGATCAGTTTGTTTCCCTGCTCCTACGAATATTCGCCGTGTCATGCCAGACAAAATCCAATTGCACGCAACAACAAAAGATGCCAAAATAAACCATGGAAACACAAACACAAGTGCAAACACCAACAAGAGTCACGCATTTCCAGCACATGACAAAAAGGATGTATTGTTTGTATGCATCTCATTGGACAGAGCCGTACTATCTTAGTTATTCAAACCACATATTAAACTAACAATTAAACACCAAATTCTGGAACTACCACTGCCCAAATCATCACAGAAGATAAGAATTTTTTTCCCTCTCATACATCATACTCCCACATAATCGAGCAACAAAACGACTTGCTACCGCCATAAACCCTAAATCGCAACCCCCACAAAAGGACAGATTCCTCCAAATCCTAATAAGCCACGTCCTCACACACATACAGAGGAGACGATCGCACACGCAGCCGTAAATCCGTAATCGATCAGATGGCGGGGGCAGGGGGCGGAGGAGGGAGGAATCGGGGGGAGGGGAGGGGAGTGTCCTTACGAACTCGACGAAGGCCTGGTTGCGGTTGGCGCCGACGTTGCACATGGTGTTGACGACCCTGCCGAAGGGCTTGCAGAGCTCGACGAGCTCCTCCTCGGTGCACTCCCACGGCATGTTCCGGAGGTGGAGCACCTTGGACGGCGTCTGCGTGTACCGGAACTGCGTCGCCGACCCCGACGGCATCCTCGCTGCTGCAGGCGGCGGCGGCGGCGGCTGGCCCTCCCGCCCCCCGGCTCGCTCCGTGCGCGCGCCTCGCCGGCGGGTCTCCCGCGCGCAATAGGGCTAGGGTTTGGGTGAAGTCGAGGCTGGGAGCTAGAGAGAGAGAGAAAGCGCGGCTGGAGATGAGAGATTGAGAGAGAGAGAGAGAGAGATTGGGATTGTTGGGCTGGGTTGGGTGGTTCTAGAAGGAGACGATGATAGACGCGAGCGTGACCGGTGTGGGACCGTAGACGTCTAAAGGGCAATTGCAGTGCGTCCCTTTACATTTGCCAAACCTTACATGCCAACTGAATCAAGAATGTGTTACGCTACATCCTCCACAGTGCAAGTTACTTTTAGTGAGTCTTACTAGTATCATCTCTTTCACTTCTCTTCGCCCCCTCTCTCGCATCTCTTCCTTTCCCTACCGGCAAAGGAAACATGGCGATGAGCGGAGGAAGCTGAGGCGTCGAGCAGACACGGCGCCAGACGGAGCAGCGGCCAGATCCACTGGCGGTCCCCGCCGCACCACCTTTCTTCTCCTCCCACGAAGCAGCAGCGAATCGACCGCGTCGACGCCCTGACTCCTCTGCGTGGCGGGAGCTCGATGGCGCCACTCCTCTCTCCCCTTTCCTTGTCGGCAGCAGTGGATCGAGCAAAAATGAGGAAAAGCGGCGGCCATCTCAGGCATCGAGTCGAGCGAAGAAGCCGGGGGGGGCAGCGAGCAGTCGTAGCAGCGCCGCTCCTCTCTCTCCATCCGTGGCCTCTTCCCTCTTCCCCCCGCGGTGGCTGTGGTGGCCTGTAGAGCCGAAGGTGGCGACTAGCCCTACGACAGCACCGCTCCTGTCTCCCCTCTTTCCCCCGATTCCTCTCCCCGACGCGCAGCCCGAGCTATTTCTCCCCGCACTCTGACAAATCTAATGAAGAACGCGTGGCCTACTTTAGCTCCATGGTTTTCACTTGGTTACGGGAATAGCAAAGGTGGCATGGAAACTGTGACGTAGAATACCGGGGTTGAATGCCATATGTATGCACTATGAATGACTTAAGGTTGTGTTCGGGAATCGGGACTTTGGGACGAAAAAATAATATTAATGTATAACTAATTAAGTAACTTGAAAAATTGATTAATATGATTTTTTTAAAAAGCAACTTCATATAGAAATTTTTTATAAAAAACACATTGTTTAACCGTTTGAAAAGGGTGCGCGTGGAAAACGAGTGGTGGGTTGGGAAAGTGAACATAAGAACTCAGCCTTACTTAAATTCGGAAACTCCACCTCCCGCGTGGAAAACCGGTATTATACATTAATGCATGATTAATTAAGTATTAGCTTAAAAAACTTGAAAATTGATTAATATGACTTTTCAAAGGAGCTTTCCTATATAAACACTTTTGGAGAAAATGCATTGTTTAGCAATTTTAAAAAGCGTGTGTGCGAAAAAAGAGGAAAGTGAGTTGGGAAAAAGGGGGAAGAACACAACCTTAAGTGCACGTACAACTACTAGTAATTCATATGTAAGTATGATTGGGTTGAATTGCAACATTTTAGGAAGAAGGTAATACTCCATTCTTTTTTAATATACGATGCCATTGATTTATTTACAACTTTTGACCATTTGTATTATTTAAAAAATTTGTGCATATCTTACGAATGTAAATAATGCTTAAAAGTTCATTTAGTGATAAATCAAACCACAATAAAAGAAATGACATTTACTTGAAATTTTTTAAAAAGGCGAATGGTCAACCATGATGTAAAAAGTCAATGTGTTGTATATTAAAAAACGGAGGTAGTACTCCTTTGTATTATAAAATATCTCATCCGATTATAAGTTGCTATATTATGGAACAGAGGGAGTACTTGTTTTCTCAAATTACTACAAAACTTGGGAATTACTTCCCGTCGGGTGCCAGATGTAGCTCCAACGATCGGGCTCCCACCCACTACATGCGACCATACAGTGCATAAGCTTATCCCCTTATCGTGCTCCCCCTCCATGCTTATTGATATTAAAATAACTTTTCTCATAAAATAATTGTTAGATTTACGTTCTGATCACAACATCATTGTAATTAAATATTTAAAACAAGATATCATATGATTATATTCGGATGAAAGAAAAAAAATATTTTCAAACCATTAAAACTCAATGTTTCACATGCTATAGCAATATGTTTCAGCGCGTGTTTTCACTGTGTTTCACAAAATTTACGCAACTAGCCGTCCATACTCTCTCTCCACCCCATCCACCTATGCATGCATGTAGTGATATTCAAAATAAATTTTTATCCTAAACTACTTATCCGATCTATGATCCGATCATACCGTTTATATTCGTAGGAACTAAATATTTACAATAAGATATCACATGAATATATTACGATAAAAGAAATATATATGTTTCAAACTGCTAAAACTCATTGTATTATACATGACAATGGCATGCTTCAACATGTGTTTTCACTATGTTTCGCATTTTTTTTATGTTTCAATTGTTGTTTTTATGTTTCTCCATGTATGACTTAATGTTTCACCCAATCTTCAACTGAAACATTTTGACTGCCCGATTTTTGAAACATTTGTAGTACCTTTCGTAAAACTGATGCACTCAAAAACAGTTTTATTCATGTAAATTTTCATAAAATCATTACGCTAGTGGCAAACAAACTCTTGGGCCATTAGACCATGGGCCAGAGTCTATGGATAAAAGCCCATGGAGTGATATGCATTTTTACTGTATAATTTTCTCTTGGGCCTAACACACAATGGGTTGGCCTAGGGCCTGGCCCAAATATAAGTATGCGGTTTACACCGTGAAAAGAACATAGGAGATGAAACCCCACACGTTGTTGCGGGAGCTTAGTATAATATTATTAGAAATAATTTGTAGAATAGCTAGGTGATGTAAGCTTAATTATAGATTTTTTTTATTGATCATTGGAAAATGCTATAAACCACTTAAGGTGATGTGATTTATGATAATTTAAATAGTGTCTAGATTGATAATCCAAAAGTAAATGTAAGGTGATGTGTCTTTATGAGAGAAAAAACGAGGGAATAATTTTGACCATAGATTAATCATCTAAAGGCTATAAACAATTGAGGTGATGTGATTTAATGAGATAAGATAGAAAATTTTACTAAGTGGGGCTAAAATATGTAGGATATTGTAAAGAATGATGAAGAGATATGTGTTGAAATATTGGGACTATTTAGATTATAGGCAAAATAAACCTTATCATTGCCAAAATTTTGGCAGGATTTCTTATGTATTTACCAAATTTGGCAACAAACTAAACGTAGACATTTTTTTTGACAACTTTATCAAAAAATGGTATGGTTGAAGAGAACAGCCCCATTGTGTAAATTGTATGGGATGATGATTTAACTTGCTTGTATTTTAAAGATTTGGAATATAATAAAATATAGATGATATATCATGTTTGTATGAGAATTAGGATGTAATAATTGCTAATGGATGATAATGTGGTATCTTTGCACGTTGAGCTTTAGAATGTAGTGGGTTGTAACTTTTATATACTCCCTCCGTCTCCTAATATAATGGATTTTGACTTTTTGCTTGCACTGTTTGACTATTCGTCTTATTCAAAAAAATTTAGAATTTTTTTTACTTACTTTATTATCCAAAGTATTTTAAGCACAACTTTTCATTTTTTATATTTGCCTAAATTTATTTGAATAAGACGAGTGATCAAATAGTGCAAGCAAAATGTCAAAATCCCTTATAATAAGGGACAGAGGGAGTAGTATAGATTAGCCCTACAGTAAAGCGAAAGAAATACACTACTTAGATGGCTAGGATATTTACATAATAAGTCAAAAATTTCATAAATTTAAGTTTTGTTTTCAAAACTTACAAATACAATGTATCAAAAGGACAATATGTCAGTTGTGCGGTTTTATAGAGCTCTAGAACCATGATATACTTCGAGTTATATGCCATGTGCCAAACCTCTGTTGTGACTAGAATACTGTAGTGATAAGAGAGAATTTTGCACACTTTGATTACAAAGCATATGCTTTTTTCCAGGTATATGTAGTTTTACATCACTAACAATAAATGGATATACTCATATTCTTTTATCGGATTTGCTCGACAGAAAATTAGGGAAGATTTCTTAAAGAATTTTTACACTCTGGTCCACTCCAAGGTTCGTGCTTTTTGACCTTCTCCTTGTATACAAGGATATACCCGTTTTGGTTTTAAAAAGAAGTTATTAATACAACTATGCTGATATAACATAGTCTTAGAAGCTAGCCTTATTATATTCTACGTTACCGTATAAAAAATTGTTTACAAATAAACTACAAATTAGGTACTATTCTCAACAAGGAAAGAAAAAAAATATTATCAACCATTATAATATTATCTAATACATATTTAACATATATAAATGGCAACAAAAGCAACCTGTCGATGTTTGAGATCGCGACTACGGTATTTGGATGGTATGGGGATCGTTAGTACTAGGGTATATGCGAGATTAAGGTAAAAGAGATGGAGAAAGGAATCCTATATACCTATACAAACCATCCCCACTAAGTGCAATTAAAACTATTTTCCTGCTCTGAGAGTAAGCCACGTCGGTTCTATTCATCCTAGCCATCGGATTGCTGACTAACGTTTGGATAGCAATCATTAGCAGGGCAACTCAATGCTCATGCCAGTTACAGATCAAACAGGCCCACTAGAAGTTCACCATTTACTCCGTCCTGGCAAATCTTCCTATGTTGAGCCGAAGCGTTAGAGGCACCCACCATGGCGCACACAGATATTGTACATCTTCCACTTATATCTTTTAATTACCTATGTAACTGCTGTTTTAGGTGAGTAGTCGGCGTTACCGCGTTGGTGAATTTTTATTTCAGTTTGTCTCCTGGGATGATTTATATGCTTGCTTACCAAAACGAATGTAGCAGCTGCAGTTCGATTGTCTTTGGCAGTCCTGCAAATGGATGCTGATCAACATACCACATGTCTCTTTCAATCTATTGTCATCTCTTTTGCATGTTGGTGAGCATTTCTTTTCTTTTCTATTTTCTTTCATTGGTTAATTTGTACTCTGAGCTGCCAGTTCAGTTTTCCAGAGCAGTACCACCTAATGTCATGCTTTTGCTAATACTGTTGCAGGCTCCTGGTATTATTGGACATATAATTGTTTTATTTCTTGCAGATTACAAAC